GTTTCGTTTTCCCTGAGAACGTCAAAGCTCTAGGGTTTTCCCCAGAGCAACGTATCAGCAGTGTCCTTTGTCAAATGCAGTCCAATAAATATTGATGATGGTGTGTTCTCTTCCACTGGGCATAGCCCAAGGCCTTCCCTGGTCTCCCCACAGTTGTTCTCATTCAGTGTAACACACTCCTAACTGAGTGGTCCTGTGGGTCTCAGGCTCCATCACCAAGGAGTGAGGGCCTTGGGCCTGAGGGCAAAGGTCATCTGCACCAGGGAAATGTGGCCTCTCCTGCAGACAGGACGAGGGAGCTTTTACCCAGAGAAGCTGGGCATAGTGGCTACACCTTTCTACCTCTCAAACCTGTATGTCCACAAAAGGGACTGTGAGGGAAGAAAGGAGAGAGGGAGAAGAGACGAGATGAGACACTAATTTCTTTTTCTTCTTGCTTTGTTTGTAATTGGGTTCAGGGTCTTGCATGTGCTAGGCAAATGCTTTACCACTGGGCTGTAGCCCAGCCCTTAGATTTTTGAGACAGGTTATCACAGTGTAGCCCAGGCTATCCTGGAACTCTTGGTCCTCCTGCCTTAGCCTCCTGGGTGCTGGGATTACAGCTCTGCCATGACCCACCACAGTCGTTCTGCTGTTTCTAGTGGTCCTGCTCTGAGGCCCCGCCCCTTCCCATTCCCAGCGTCCTCACTGGAAATCTAGCTGAACTGGCTAGAGCAAGACTTTGTCATGTGATCAAAAGAACCCTACCCCATGAAAAAGAGACCACTTTTGCCTACTTATCTACCCCACACCGAAGACAGAGCCCGGCCTGTGTCTTTTCACACTCTTGCCCCCACAGGCGTAGCACTGTCTACCACCCCTCCCATCTCACTACACAGAGCCTGACTGCACACCGCTGCTCTTAAGAACCTTCCCTGGCTCACTGGGCTTCTCTGCAGCCCTTGGGGCCTCTTCTTCCTTGGGAAGGGTAGATCCTGGCCCCACTGTTCAGCAATCGCACTTCCCTGCCAGCTCAGTGTCCTCTTTGAAGACATGCCAGAGCAGGTGTCAGAAGATGAATGAAGTGACTACAAAGAGCTCTACACATGCAATTCTCATTCATATGTGTGCTGGTGACACTCGTGAGCCACTACCCACTTAGGGTAAGAGGCAGCTATGGCACTGGCTCCAGCCCCCTGCTGTCATCATTTTAAAGCTGGGCCACTATTTTGGGTGCAATAATGGCTCCTGCTTCTCTGGCTTTCCTGGAAGGTCCAGAGAGGGTAAAGAGGTCTGAACACACTTACACACTTACACATGAACACACAGGCCCCTCTCTATAGGACTCTTCATTCTACTCTGGGAACAGGATATGCTAGAGGGCCTCACAGATAGCCCAGACTACCCCTTAGGACAACAGCTGAGCCCTTGCCCCAAGGGAATTCAGGGGACACTGTCACTCCCACAGTTCCCTTTGACCACTTGGCTCTGGGACTTGGACAGTCTTGCTAAGCCTTCCCATCATCTGCATTTGAAATGCTCTGTGGTTCAGTCCATGATTTACATACAGACAGGCCTGCTAGCTGCTGCATTGCAGGATGTGAGAGGGGAAAACAGAATGCAATGACCCAGATTTAACCACACCAGAAAAAGCACTCAGAGAACTTCAAGAGGCCCATGGGAGGGAAGATTCATCTTTACGCAGGTCTCTTGACCCCCTGTGTAAGGATCACTGTGGAGAGAGGACAGCAAATTACAGCATCGTCAGCAAGTTCTACACGACACAGAGAATATGACTTTATTTTTCCAAACTGTGGAAAATAATAAGGTCTCTTCCCCCTTCTAGTCATGTTTTCTAGCCAAAGCTTCCACTAATTTAAAACATTTGGTGGGAAAATAATATTGGGACATTGTTCTTAAGGGAGAAAATCAGCTTGCTTTGAGTTAATCTCTAACAGGCAGAGAATGTACGCTTATCTCACACGACGGGACAATGACACATCGGCTAATTACCATCTTATCTGAAGACACATCTACTCAGCATAGGGAGAGGAGCCATTACTTCACACAAACAATGACCCAGAAGTGAAGTAATGATAGCAAGCCACAGGCACAGTCATTAACTATCAACAAGGCCCAGAATTTTTTCTTAAACATAGAATTAGCAATCGGTTGTAGCAACTACAACTGATTACAAATGAACCCTCAGACACTGGCATTTAACCATTCATATACAAACATTTACATATAGATGTATTCTATTAATATGAGTGGGAAAAAGAATGCTGGGATAAGAGGAAAAATTGAAAGTCAAATAAAACACAGCTAACATCTTCCAGGGCTGACCCTATATAGATGCTGCATTAAGGAACGACAGCAGCCAAGTAGCTCACAGAAAAGGGAATGGCTTCCTGAACATCTCCTGGTGCAACGCATCTACCACACAATGGTCTGGTGAGGGCCAAGGCACCTATCACTCGTTTTCAAATGAGCACACTGGAGACAAGATATGAAGCCTCTCTCCCACGTCTTCCCCACAGACCCTCAGCTATCCTAAAACAGCCGAGTTGTAATCACATGACCCCCATGCTTCAGGTCATCAGTGTTCAGCTTCTAGGATGTCTCTAGCCGACTTCTAATGCTTAGGGTATTACTGGCGAAGAAGATGGCCCTGTTCATGTAGACACTTACAGGATTTAGGAAAACACGGTGGTCCTTCCATCTACCCATGTCTACACACCAACAAACCTACCTCCATTCTTAAATAATCACCCACATTCTACCAGAGTGGAAAAGTCTTCACCATCCTAGAAAAATTAGCTAAATTCGAACCTTAGAGCTCATCTGGCTCCTGGTCTACGGTTCCCGGCCCCTTCAGATGTGAATGATTACTCCCAGGGACTTGAAGCCTGAATGTTCAACAAATGTCGAAGGCAGAGGGAGGAAAGAAGGAAGGGAGGGAGGGAGGGAGGAAGGGAGGGAGGGAGGGAGGGATGAAGGGAGGAAGGGAGAGAGGAAGGAACAAACAAACAAACACCCCTTAAAGGACAATCTCATTTCTCCACGCTTCTGCAATACTTCTCACAATGTCTCCTTTAGCATTCTCTGCTGAGAACTGGCTCTCTCTGGCCTCTTCTCTTCTTTTGCCCCCTCCCTCTCTCCCTCTTTCCATCCCTACCTACTCCCAGTGCCTCAGTCTCTCCAAGGCGCTAGTCCTCATTCTTAGAGGCTCCTTAGGTGTCCCAGCATAGCCCTTTCTCCACGAACTCCTCCCCCCTCCCTCTCAGCTTCAGCCCCTTCCCATCCTTGGACCACACAGGCAGCCTCTGCCACATGTAATTCACTTCAGCTGCTTCCTCCAAGCAACATCCACCCACTGTGCCTACCCACCCATCATTACCACAGTGAGTTTGTTCTCCGTTATTCCAGCACTTAGTTCTAGTCCTCGATCAATGTGGACAATCAACAGGATTTACTAGCGAATTCAGTAACTGGCTATTTGGATCTCAAGTGGCTGTTTGGACCTGTGTAGGTCAATTACAGTCAAGCTCCTCGTGACATGTCAAAAACAGCCTGCAGGTACCACTGTGGTACTGTGAGATGAGAAGGCACTGACAAACTCCCATTACCTCATCATGTCAAAGCTGCCATGGTGCACAACACATCACTCACACACCTATGGCGGGGCTACTGAGTACCAGTCACAAGAAAGCATGGCACCCAGCCTTTGGGTCCCTTTCCCTTAGGTGGGATGCCTTGTCTGGCCTCAGTGGGAGAGGATGCGCTTGGTCTTACGATGCCAGGGGTGGGTCCCCATGGGAGTGGGGGGCTCTGCTTCTGAAGAGGAGAGGGGGAAGTGGAGCGGATTGAGGGTAGGACTGGGAGGAGAGAAGGGAGGGGGCTGAAATCAGACTGTAAAGTGATTAAATAAATTAATTAATGGGAAAAAAGCATGGCACCCATGAGCATACAGAACCTAAGACTTGCTAACAATAACCATTACTGGTTTATGTGTCTACTCTATTATACTTTTTCCATCTTTAATTTAGAATGTATCCTTTGCCCTCCCTCTCTGTATATGTACACACACACACACACACACAGGAAATTTACTATAAAACACACAACAATGGGAGATATGGCTCAATTTGGCAAAATGCTTACCTATAATGACCAAGACTCTCAGCCCAACCCCCAGTACCACATAAGCCAAACATGGTGATACATACTTATAACCCAGCGCTATGGAGACACAGGCAAGGAAGATTAGAAGTTTAGGGCCATTCTTGGTAAATAATGACTCTGAGGCCAGCTTGGACTCTGTGAGATTCTATCTCAAAACAAAACAAAACACAACAAAACAAAACAAAAAAGTGCATGCCATTCTGGGCCTGCCACAGCACACAGAAATGTTGCAAGGGTCTGTGCATGGAAGTTAGCGTCAGCACTCTCTGAACACTGTCAAGGGGTCACTGCAGCACACTGGGGGACTACATCAAAGAGAATGTGATACCCATGAAGACAGAGCTCAGCCGCAATCTGGAGCGCAGTCATCGCTTCTGCTGTAAATATCATGTAGAATTCAAACAAGGCCTGCGACTGGGCATGAAAATGCCCCCAGCTACCGCCCACACAGAACAAGCTCAATGCCAGGCACACCTGTAGGAGGCAGGCAGTCCCTGCAGGTAGGCAATGTTGCTTGGTACAATGCCTGTACCTACTGGCCTGCTCCCAGGCCATTGAAAAAAAGGGCAACAGAGATCTCCTAAGACAACACAGCATGGTTATCTGGGAGTCAGACCCATTTGAGTGTGCCCAGTGGTGGGCCAGAAGGCCTGCTGTCTGGGATCCAACTCCAGCTCCTACAAGAGAAAACACAGGGTCACCCTGGCCTCAGCAGGAGACTCTTCTAGAGTCACCTCCAGCTGTCCCTGTGGTGTGGCTGGCCGTCTACCTGCTCTCCAGCCCACTTAGGGGCCTGTCCTGTGGGCCTGTTGCTTTGGTCTCACTGTGGTGCTCACCTTCTTAATGAACTCTGAGATGAGCTTCTGGTCTGTCAGGTGTTGTAAGGAGGAGCAGTAATCCAATTCCAAGACGTAGCCTTCATTGGGAAGCTCGGCCTTTTGAGACCTGAGGGGAGAAACACGGAGTGAAATCCTGTGGTCTATAAAAAGAATCCCAGAATAGTTAACGAAGCCCCCAAACCTTTCCTGAATGTAACCAACAAAACAGCACGGCTGGAAAACAATTTAGGGTAAACAGCAAGACATGCACATACACACGCAGAGTGCACCTCCATGTGTATGTATGTACGTATGTATGGACGCATCTCCAGGCCACTGAAAAATCTCCAAGAAGGCTGGGCATGAGAGGTTAACGCAGGAGGACTGAGACTTTGCAATCAGTCTGGGTATCTCAAAGAGAGGTCACAGAGAAAGAGAGAGACAAGAAAGAAAAAAAAAAGAAAAAAGAGAAGGAAGGAAGGAAGGAAGGAAGGAAGGAAGGAAGGAAGGAAGGAAGGAAGAAAAAAGGAAAGGAAAGAAAGGAAGGGAGCGCGGGAGGGAGGGATCAGGGTAGAGTTGGTCTCTCTGTACAGTATCATCATAGAATGATAGGTATAGACAATATGGCTTATACAGCAGACAGTACGAAAATGTTTGGCTGCAGGGGCTCTCAAGTAACATATTTCCTTTGGTTTCTATCTTCTTGGAAAAGGGTCAGCAAGAGACACATGCAGCCAGTCCCAGCGCTGGGCTCTGGATGGAGCAGCCTCTTAGGGACAGGGACTTGGGGCAGCAGTGTGGGGCTGATTAAAAGTGACTTCAGCTGGAACTCTGAGAAGAAAACAATATTCACATATCACCTAGGAAACTAATTTGTAAGGCCTCCAAAGAGCCCAGCCCCTACCAGGCAGAAGCTGTCAAATCTGCCAAAGGAAAAGATAAATCAAAGACAGTCTGGGACGGGCAGTGAGGTGGCGCTGAGAAGCATTTGCTGCCGAGCCTGATGTCCTAAATTCAATCCCTGAGACCCACATGCAGAAGGAGAGAACAGGCTCTCAGAAGTTGTCTTCTGACTTCCACATATGTGTACAAGAGCATGTGTGTATATATGTGTGTGCATGTATGTACGCATGTATGTATGACATGTACACCTGTCATACAAATGAAAAGAAAGGCTATGGAGCAACTACCAGCAGAAATTCTGGAGAAGCAGAATGCAATGAAAGATGGGCAGAGGCACAGGCTTTGGGTTGTGGCATAACTACACAGGGCTGCCAGCACGCCGGTTCTCCCCAGCCACCGACAGCTGAGCTGACTGCTCCCCCACACAGATCCACCCTGACGCTGCACACAACTGGACCGTCAGGTGAAGCGGGAGCAAGTGGCCATCAGAGAGAGCCTCCACCCATGCTCAGTCACCCCTCCTTGGAGAAGGAGTCTCCTAGGCCCACCAGGCCCGAAGCAACATGAGGCACAGGGAAGGATCAACAGGGGATTCTGTCTATCTTAGGTGGCTGGCCACAGGGCTCCTACCGCCTGTCCAGACACTGAGGCTGAGGAGAAAGTGCCCTCCTGGGCACGATGCAGCTGCTCTACCAAAGAGGCCTGGCCAAAAAAATCCCTAAAGTTTACCCTTTCAACACACACACTCACATACACCATCACATACCACACACACATGCACACACAATATACACATCCACAAACCCACACACACATCACATACAGCACACACATACTCATATACACATAACACAAAGACACACATGCGCACACAGACTTATACTATCACATCTCTCTCTCACACACACACAGCAAAGAGTACAGTACATGTGAATGCATATTTGTTATGACAGTTTAAAAATGAATCTCCAAGGTTTCCACGTACTGTGAAAAGCCATTTATGCTTCCGTCAGCCATCTGGGTATGATTTACATAAAAATTAAAAGAAAAAAATTAAAGAGGATTTGATGTCCCCAGGTGTGAGGCTGTGGTTCATTAAGCAAATTTCAACAGGTTATTTTTATTTTAGTGTTTCCTCTAGCATATCCTTTCTGAGGTGGCAAAACGTTTGAAACGTCAAAGAATAAGCTGACCTGAAACTAGTCCATCTGGAATAAACTAATTCTAACAGAATAAGCCGGCCGAGAACCCTGCCATCTTGTTTCACTACTTGGCCAGAGATTTAGTCATGTTCTTACTTCTTCCCTGAGAAAAACCAAGACAGAAAACTCCAAACCTTTGGAAGATTTAGTCCAGACACATGGTCACATGTATTATGTGACATCCCAAACAGCAAAGACTGAGATGGGGGAAGAGAGTACTAAGACATGCTCAGTCCTTAAAGAGCTCATCAGACAGGCGTGAGGATGGCCCTGAGCTCAATCCCAAAACCCTTGTAAAGATCCAGGCCCGGCAGAGTTCTCAATCCTCGGAGAAGGCGAATCCCTGGGAATCCCGGGCTGGCTGTCCTGAGGAACCTCACTGTTGAGCCCCAGGTCCCCGTGAGGGACCAAAAGCAAGATAAATAGTCTCTGAATAACACCCAAGGTTGACCTCCTGTCATACACATGCACACATACACACGCCCACATCCCAGTTCTTGCTAACACGGAGACTAATGTCAGATGCTTATGGTTATCTATAAATGCCACTAAGATTATAATCCGAGGTCTCAGTCTGTCACTGAGGGGAAGTCAAGGCAGGAACTTCAGCAGCTACTCACATCACATCCACGAGCAGAGAGAAATAAATGCAAACAGGTCTACTCACATACTTGCTCCCAGAGACCTTTCTCCTCTCTTCCAGTGTTCTGGAGCGCTTGCCCGAAGACTGGTGCCTCCCATAATGCACTGAGTCTTTCTAGATCAGTTAACAATCAAGAACCCTGATCTAGCTAATTGCTCAACTGAGGATCTCTTCCTAGATTTTAGGTTGTGTTGACAGTTGAAACTACCAACACAGCAGAAATAGACAGAATTTCAGGCAGCGAGTACCTGCTGCTGTCTGCTGTCCCCACCAAGTGTGTCATGGCTTATCACAGAACACAAAACCCTTTCAGTCCCTGAGGAGGAAGACCTGGGAACATTCTGCTCAGAAATGGCCTCCCGGGGAACAGGCCTAGTAAGGCAGCCGAGCAAGCACAGTCCCGGATAATAACAGGCATGCTATGTCCCTGGATACCAGCCTGGGGTAAAGAAGTGGACATCTCCCAGCAGGAGCCTCCAAGAGCCAGGGACTGGCCTCTAAGCGAATCAGTGTGAGGGAACAGGTGTTCAGGTATTCAGTAGAGTTAGCTTCTAAGCAAGAAGCAGTGTCCAGAGTCCCCCACCACTGTCCTGTGGGTGAGGAAAAGGCCACAGATACTCCCAAGACGCCATGTGATCTTAGAACAGGACATGGGAAACAGTATCTTAGCTGAGCCCGGAGCTGAGATGACACTATTTCTGAAACGGAGAGTTGTAGATTTAAACAAAAGGAAAACAGAGGGTTACAACATTATCCTTGTGGGGACATGGAACTGACTAGCAGACATAACCTCCCATGTTGTCCTGTTTGAAAATTATTAACACCACATAATCAGAGCCTAGAGAAGATCAGGGCACACTATGACACACCTTTATTATTCTCCAGCCCAAACTTGACAAACGGTCTTGCAGCTCATAAGCTGAAGCATCTAGAGCTAGCTAGGAAGGTGTCCCATCTACCATAAGCCTTGAGACAGTTTCCTCAAATTTTCTGGGCTTCATTGTTTTCATAGTAGGTAAGACAGTGGTGAGCAGCTGTCTATTAGAGAGCCTGTGGGGACAGACAATACAGACCTCCCAGGACACAGAGAAAACAGACCCTTTAAGCAGAAGGACAAAGGCAGTCCTTGAAGGGCAATGAAGATGCTTCAGGGGCAGCTGGCAAACTGCCTCAGTGGTCCAGTCAACCGATGCTAGCATTCCAAGCACCCTGGCAATGGTGAGTAAGTAATGAGCTCTGACTGTTTTCAAGGTAGTATCTTCATAATACCTAAGAGGTTGGTTGTAGAGTGTAAAAGGAAGAAGCAGATGAGATGACTCCAAGGATTATTGCCCTTGAAGTTAGGGAAATGAATGGGACTACTTTGGTTGGCGGAGGTTTGGGAGGGGAAGAGAAGATTGACAATTCAGTTTCATCTATGTTAAACATGACATACCCAGCTGACATGCATGTAGAAATCTCTGCTATACAGTTGAAAATACATTCAGGTCTGAAGCTGAGGCTGTAACTTAGTTGGTAGGCTCCTTGCCTAGCATTTGCAAAGCCCTGGGTTTAATCCTCACTGCTACATGAACCGCTCATGGTGGTGCACACCTATAATCTCAGCACTCAGGAGGTGGAGGCTGGAAAACCACATGTTCAAGGCCATACTCGACTGTATCACAAGTTCAAGGCCAGCCTGAGCTATACAAGACTCAGTCTCAAAAAGGAAGGAAGGAGGGAGGGAAAGGGAGAGGAGGGGAGGGAGGAAGAGGAGGGGAAGGAGGAAGAGGAGGGAAGGAGGGCGGAAGGAGGAAAGATACACACAAACACTCTCTAAGTCTGGTGGCTGGAGATGTACTTTAAAGGTCATCAGCATCCACACGGCATTCAAAGCTTGAGACCAGCTGAGCGCTTCATGAATTCCCCAGACTCCCCACTATAAGAACTCAGGGAATCAAGAAAGAGATTACAGTAAATCTACAAAAGGAGCTATCTGAGGAGACTCGTTTCTGGACATCATTTAAGGAAACTTATCACTGAGGATGGCAGAGGCTTCCCTGTCAATTGTTTCCACAAACAAACCCATCACCCTCTCTCTAATTCATGTAATTCTTTTGCAATCCCAACCCAAGCAAACAGTTCTGGAGGTCTCCGTGTGCCTTTAATATCTGAGTATTCTGTTAAGTTGGCAGACTGTCACGTTACGATGCCAGGTTGGTTCAGGACACCTGGGGTCCTTCGGAAAGAAATATGCTTCTGGATGGTTTCCTAGAAGCAACGTTAGGGAGTTTTAAGGGGGATTCTCTGGTTTGTCACTGCTTGGGCTTCTCATGTGGTTGTGACACAACTCCAAAGGAGTCATCATGGCTTGGGGAATCACTCTCTCTAAGCCATTAA